GTTGTCTTCTAGGGGTTTTATAGTTTTGCATTTTACAGTTAGGTCTGTGATCCATTTTGAGTTAATTTTCATGAAGGTGTAAGGTCTGGATCTAGGATTTTTTTTTTTTTTTTTTTTTTGGCATGTGGCTGTCCAGTTATTCTAGTACCATTTTTTGAAAAATTATCTGATAGTTGGCAGTTTCTTACAAAGCTAAACATAGTCTTTTCATATGATTCAGAAATTGTTTTCTTAGGTATTTACTCAGCTGATTCTAAATGTATGGCTACATAAACACCTACATGTGTAAACTCATAGATACAGAGGACAGAATGGTGGTTACCAGAGAGGAAGCGGGGTGGGGGCAAGATGAAGAGAGTAAAAGAGGTCAAATATATGGTGATGGAAGGAGACGAGACTTTGGGTGGTGAGCACACATGGAATATGCTGATGTTGTATTATAAAGTTGTACATTTGAAATATATAATGTTATTAGCCAATGTTACCCCAATAAATTTAATTAAGAAAAAAACCTAAGAAAAAAAATTATTTCTATTGCCAAAGATCAGTGGACTATATTTATATAGGTCTATTTCTGGGCTCCCCTCACCCACCACAGGAAATGAAAACACTATGTCAAAGACATATCTGCACCCCCATATTCACAGCAGCATTATTTATGACAGCCAATATTTGGAAACAACCTAAGTGTCTATCAACATGTCACAGGAAGCTCTCAGGGATTGTCCCTGTTGGAGACTCAACTGGGAGCAGAAGCCAGGTTCTTGTCTTCCTGTGAGAAAGAATTCAAGAGGGAGACAGATGCAGGAAGCACAGGGGGTTTATTGAAGTGAAAGTACATACTTGAGAAGGAAATGCTGGTGAACTTGGAAGTCCAGTGGCCCTGAGGAAGTCCTGACCAGGGGTTTTTATCTCCCTTAAAGGCTGGAATTGGTGACTTCCCATTGTTTTCTCCTCCCTATGGGTGGGACCCTCCGTTTCCTGCTTTTTCTCCCTTATTTGGTTCCCTTGGAATTGTCATGGCATGAAGTGCATGATGGGAGTGGTGGTAACTGAAAGGTAAATGAGGTTATAATGACATCAAAATTAACTAAAGGTCATCAGCTCCTAGAACTCTTGAATATCCTAAGTGTTGGGAGTGTCTTTTGTTGTGTTCATGAGGTGACTTTTGGAAAGCACCTAAGGATGGGGCTGGTTGCCAGGGGAACCAACAACGTGGTTGGAACTTTATTTTTTATTTTTCATATTGTGGGTTTTAGCATATGTGGAAATAAAACATGACAGTAGCACTTAGGACTGGAAAGAAGAACTGGAACTGTACTGTTGTAAGGTGATTACACTATATGTGAAATGGTATTATTTTACCATTTCTTGGCCTCCCTGAACACTGTCTCAAGTCTCTCAACTCAGTGAGACCTGGCTATTTGCCCCCACCTCACTCTGTGCAGCTTCTCGGCAGTAAGCTGATAGACTCAAAGGCTCATCCTGTTTTTTTCTCTTCTCGCCTGTGTTCCTTGTTGTCTAATATCTGAAAACCTTTTATTTTCCTTTCTATTGGTTAAATAAATCAGGAGGGTAAATCAAGTCCCTTTTACTCCATCTTAGTGGACACACTCCATTTTTATAATAATTTATCCTTGATATTTTTTCTAGCCTTACACTTTTTTTGAAAGCCATCATTTGCTCATTGAAGCATTATTTATAAAACCATTTCTTTCACAGAAATTTCACATTGAACATGTTCAAAACTGAGCTCATGGCATTCCTTCCCAAATCGCCATGCTTCCTCCTCCTCGCTCGGTCCCTTAAAAGTTTCCATAGCAGCAAAAGGTACCACCATTGCTGATAAACAAACTAGAAACTTGGGAGTCATACTTAGCACCACTCTCTTCCTCACCTACACATTGCATCAATTACTTAGAAGCGTTATTTTTTGCCTCCAAAATAGATCCTGAATCTTTTCACATCTTTCCATCTCTACCACGCCTACTGCTCTACAAGACCACATTACCACCATCTTTCCCCTAGACTGTTCCAGCAGCCTCCTAAACTGTCTCCTTTATCCATTCTTGTTCATTCCAATGCATT